CGGTGCTCGCACGCACCGAGACGCTCTCGGCTTCAAATTTCACATTGCAGAGCTGGCCACGATCCCTCCTCGATCATTCGAGCACTTTCGCTGTGTGAATTCATTCTCAGGAAAGATTTGTTGTTTGGGCCAAAGACCTTCCCTCTTCGTGTCAGCAATATTTGAAAAACGTATGCTTTCTCGCGCAGTTACGCTATGATGGCAACTTCCGTAGATTACGGTTGGCCAAAGAGCTCTACTGGCCAACGAGCTCTGCTGTCTCCGCATCCTGTTCACTGCGATGTAAACCAACCAAGTTTGCGACGCTCTGAACTGCCGCATCATGGGGGTACGGCAGCCTGTGGAACGAGCCGTGTTACAGGTACATGAGTAGACGCTCATGTACCTGTGTGTGTGTGTGCTTGGGGGGGAGAAGGGGCGATGGGTGGCTGTGGACAAGGTGGGTGGATGCGTTGGGAAGAGAGAGGGTGCTTGTGTGTGCGTGCGTGTGTCTGTGTGTGTGGAGGACAGGATAACTCAAGGAGAAGGGGCCTCTTGTGATGAAAGCATGAATGACTTGCGCACCCTAATCGGGACGTGTGCTAGGGAGATGTTCGGCGTTGCATGGGGAAAGGTGAATTTTGTGAAGCGTGACTGGTGGAACGAGGACTGTGCCGCTGTGCGGAATGATATGATGAGTTTCCGTAAAGAGATCAGGGACCCCGTCTCGGGCAAGCTGCCGGACATTCATAGGGCTACCTGGAAGGCCAAGCACCGTGTCTTTAAGAAGGCTACTAGGAAGGCAGCTATTCAGGAGACCGAAATGGAAAATATGCGGAGGAGGATTAAGGCCACCCTGTCCAACCCACGCAGCTTGTGGACATGGCTGCGTGGGGGAAAACCACCTCCTTGCTGGATCTCAGATATTAATGCTTTTACCGAGCATTTTTCCAAGGTGCTTAATGGTGCGGGAAACGTGAGGCAAGGCTGCAAACGAGGGTATACAGTTTAAATGGCAGGATGAGGACCGGGTGATGCACCGACGGGAATTGGTTGCTTGGCTTAACAAGGATTTTACGGAGGGCGAAATTGTTAGCGGTCTCAAGGCCATGCGCAACATAGCCTGTCCGTGGGCCTGGAGGGAACCCCGGCCGAGTATTATAGGTACGCTATCAGGGAGAGTGAAGGGCAGCGGCCCGTGTTTGTGTTGGCGCCTTACTTAACGGTGCTATGCAACCGCATATACGGAGCTGAATATCCGCGAGCTGATTATTCACGACTAGCACCCTTTTCCCCGTATACAAAAAGGGGACGCGTCCTGCTGCGACAGTTATCGGGGCATTGCGGTTGGGGGCCCACTATGCAAACATTACGGCAATATCATCGGGAGGCGACTTATCAATTACTGTGAGGGCAACAGGCTACACGCCGGTAGCCAGGCTGGGTGTGGGCATGGTTATGGCACCGAGCACCACTTGTGTACCCGCATCAATACTACTAATATAACATCCATATACCCCCGGCTTTTACGGACACACCCGCACGCAAGTGCGGGTTCCGCATGCAAGTGTGGAACTTGTAACTTGTTAGGGTTGAAAATCCTTCCGATGGTGGAAGGTAAAAGTGCCCCTAGTCGATGGACGGTGGTGACTTGGGATAGAGTTGACTTGTGAGCTGAACAGGAATGGAGTTCAGCCGCCATCAATCTTGCAAATTCCCCGGTGATGGGTGTGGAACCTGAGCGATCCACTGAGAAGTTGGCACTTGGAAGGGAGTGAACGACCTGGGACCCCTGGGACTCAGGACATCATAACAAGCCATCAGTCAGGTCGTGTCGAACATTTAGCACAGAAATGCGCAAGCTTGACTCGGCTTGACCACACACACACATACATACACTCTCTTGCACTTGGATGTGTCGGACCGCCTGTCTTGCAGCCACCCTGTGGACCACTATCAGGCTTCCGCAGCTCGGTCGGCATCATGAAGGCAGCTGCTGATTACATCTTGCCACTTGGTGTTGGGATGACAGCAGAGTGATGGAGCTGATCTTGAACTTCTTGGAGCAAGGGATGGATGGCAACAAGTGATAGGGAACGGAAATGTGGCGAGTTGGGCTAACGGGCGAGGGTGAACGGGAAGGATATAGGGTGGTAGGGAGCTGAGCGGGGCACGATCTCGCTGCTCACAGCAGTGCTGGGTGACGAGGACGGTGCTGGTGCTGGTGACAGCGAGGGTGAGGGCGCCAGGCTCCTTAGCATCCTTGTCATTGTGTAGGTGGTTGACGATGACCTTCGGTATGTCGCTTTTTCCTCGGAGCACCTAAGGCCTCCGTTTTACGGAAGATTTGAACCCGTAAGGTGTGTATAGGGCTTAGCCCTGTCAAAGGAAGCCCTCCGTGATAGTTCGGTGGCGCCCTTGTTCGGGCCGCAGTTCCTCCTGTGAGCAAACATGAATCAAAACATATTAGACACTCAAGAAGAGCTTCAAGATCCATAACGCTGTATCAATAGCTCGTGGCACTTCCGCCATGAGCAGACTACGTCAATCGCTCGCTTTGCGCATAAGCAAAAAATTGAGCAGCGGCCTTCACGATAGCTTAATAGGTTGTTTGCAAAGGGCTTGCACTGAGGGATCTTGCTTCCGGGGACGTAACCAGGTGCCGAGGAACGGGGGTGGACGTGATAATGCAGTGACATACAGCTATAATATAAAAGTTTAATAGGCTTACTGTCGACAAAATGAGTTCGCCGATCTGCACCTTACCAACACACCACCTGGATTTGCAGCTGTTGCGCACCTTTTACCGGACGCCGTACAACTTAGCTGGCCTCTGACAAAAGGCACCTTCCATAGCACTTCCAGCTCCTTTTAGCAAATGTGCACAACGTCCGATATATGATCGCTCGCTTTCACCCAACGTATTTCACCTCTGGCGCGTTCGTAAAAGCTGCTAGCTTCCTACATATGACCAGCAAATGCGTTAGAACATATTAACAGCTGCGTGGAGTTCCGAGAAGCATCTGTGGACCCTGCAAACGTTTGCAAGGTACTGTTCATTGCAAAACCTTCACGCTGTAGCCGCCGCACTTCAGTTCCATTGCTCTAATTTATTACGCGGCTAGCTCAATCATTTATTTATTTAGCCCCTGCTGACGTTGCTCCAGGCACAGCGTCGCCGCTTCACGGACATCGACATGCCCGACTCGTCTGCTGAGGGCAACGTGCGACTCAATTTTTTTGAGGTGAGTTGCTTGTCTCTCGTGTTCATGTATGGATATTTGAAGCATCAAGGTGGCTTTGTCGACGGGCTTTCGACGTTTGTGCAACGCTCTGCTGCAAGAATATGGGCGTATGCGGCGTTTGAGCGTAATCCCGACAATTATGCTTACGCTGTGTAAGGAGGCTACGAAGGCTGAAAGCTAGACAGTTTGGCAGAAAAGTACACGTCGTTAGGCGAGACATGACCACTTCGTCCGATGTCCTTGACCTTCCTCGCGACAGAGACGACTGCTCATTTCGACTTTCATAGTAAGGCAACTGTCTTGCTCCTTTTGCAGGTGTGATCGAGGGGACCTGGCACCAGCGAGTGTGTAGAACTGGAACCCCAAGGGCAACTCGCGTGCATCAGCCGCTGCCGCGCACTGCCTTCGTCATCATCCTCCACTAGCGGCCGAGCTGACGTCACAATCGCCAGGTGGGTGTGCTGGGAAGGTTCTTGGATTCTATGGGAGAAGACGTGTTGCACATGGATAGACGAGTTGGTGACGGAGGGGGATTTCGGTATGAAATTGTTGTACCTTGGTAAGGTGCGGCGTGTAGGGAGTACGGCATGAAGGTCTTTCCCCGTATGTTCACTGCGTGGGTGCCACTTTGTGCCCGTTCGTGATTTAGTGATGTCGTACATACGTTCGGAGCAAAGTTTCTTGCTGTGGGTGTTTCGTGGCGCGGTGTTTTTCTCCTGTTGTGCCGGCAAGCAGCAACAGCAACAGCGACAGCAAAAGCACAAAGGCAGCAAACTGCAAAGATAAGGTCAGCAAACACAGATAGAAGCTGCAAAGCCGGCCGGTGGTTATTGTTGCGGTGTTCAGTGGCTTGTATTTCTGTGCGATTGTATGTAGGTAGGTAGGTAGGTAGGTAGGTAGGTGTTCAAATGTGGGTGAGAATGTGCTCTCTCTCGCGCGCGTGTGTATGTAGTTGTGTGTAAGAGTATGTGTGTGTGTGTGTGTGTGTGTGTGTGTGTGTGTGTGTGTGTGTGTGTGTGTGTGTGTGTGTGTGTGTGTGTGTGTGGATGCTACTGTTTTAATTGTGATGGAGAATTCGAAACTGCCCGCGATCCGCCTGTGTGCTTATTAGTATGTTTCTGCATTTTGTGCGCAGCTGCTCATGTTGTTTTGCCCTGCAAAGTCTGTGCTCGTTGCGTCCCCTGCTAGCTGATTAACAGCGTGTGTGTGTGTATTTCCCCGCCCACCTCCCGCCCGATCCCCCCGCCGGTCTGCGCGAGCCTGGGCGAGGACTTACGTCAGCGTCTCGCCGTCGGCCGCCTCGCCGTCGGCCGCCTCGCCGTCGGCCGCCTCGCCGTCGGCCGCTTTGCCGTCGGCCGCCTCGCCGTCGACCGCCTCGCCGTCGGCCGCCTCGCCGTCGGCCGCCTCACCGTCGGCCGCCTCGCCGTCGGCCGCCTCACCGTCGGCCGCCTCGCCGTCGGCCGCCTCGCCGTCGGCCGCTTTGCCGTAAGCTTTTGGCGTTTCCGCGTCACGGTTTGTCGTACCTCCGGTGAGTCACGCGCTAGTTAAACGCATCCCTTGTCTGTGCTGTGCATTTCCTTGTTGACGTTGCCCTATGTACGTCATTGTACAATTTTGCAGTGCGTCACGTCTTGTTTGTTAGTTGGTTGTAAAGCACTGTCTGTTGTGGGTTTTTGTTGTTGTGCCGCATGCGACGTGCTTGTGCAGTCTTATTTTGTTTGCATCATAAAGCAGATCATGGCCGGGCAGCAGATCAGCAGCTGATAGGCAAAACAG